AAGTTCAGCCAACAATCAAATTAACAGTAAGAGATGTGCCAGGTAGTGGTGGCACACACCTTTAATCCCAGGAGGCAGAGGCAAGCGATCTCTGAGTTTGAGGCCAGCCTGGTCTACAGAGCTACACAGACAAATCCTGTCTCAAAAAAAAAAAAAAAAAAAAAAAAACCAAAAAACTGTTAAGAAGGGAGATGTATTCAGTGTGGCCACTTGGGGAAGAGGGACAAAGATTCACTGGCCCCCTCAAGTCACTCTTAGAGTCCTAAAGTGAGGTTAAATCTTTAAATAGGGGGCCATGGGTTTGAGCATATATACAGTCCTGGACAGAGTGAGGTCCCGCCCACCCAGGCCCAGCATTGTTTGGCCTCACTTTCATCCTGTAAGGTGCTCTGACAGCTGTTAGAACTGTGTTCTTTTTCGGGAGTCAAGGCCCCCTCTCTTTTCCTTGTTCCAGTATGAGATTCCTGGGGAAATCGCCATTTCTCAGGATCCGTTTTTTCTGTGGTCTGAAAGTCAGATTGAGGGACACAAGTGTCTCATTTTCAGAATACCTTCATGTGTGCCATGCCACTTCTGTGTCTACGGTCGGGGGCTCCAGGACTGACTTCCCACAGGCCCTGGGGCTGTCTATGGTGCTCTGATTATCTGCAGGGGCTGCACCCACTTTCTTCCCGGGGCCTCTGAGCCTTTCTCTGACTGCTCAGGATATGAAAGCCCCATGAGTCAGCCCCTCTGCCAGCGGCTTCAGCTTGCGTTTCCGCCTCTCCCCTCCTCTCCGTAGCCGGGCTTCGTGGGCTCCTTCCTGTGTCTGTGTGTCACTTTGAGCTGATGGGGGGGGGGCACTGGCCCCGGTTCTGGCAGCCAGGACTGGGCTGGCTTTAAAGCGCCCCCTCTCCCAGCAGTGACTGTGGCCGGCTGAGATTTCTCATCTGTCACGTGGTCCTGGCACTGGCTCTTCAGGAATGCTGAGAGACCACATCTGGTAGTGACAGGGCTGCCACCTCCCCCATCTCAGCTGCCGTCTCCCACACGTGCCTCTTCCGCTTGGGTGGTGGTGGGGCCTGCTCTCAGAGTCTGGCTGGGCCACTCTGTGGAGTCATTTCCTCTCCTTGCATTGATTGTCTTGATGTTCCTGCCTCCCCTCCCGGCCTTGAAGGGTTATAAGAAGTGGGAGGGGAAGGCTTCTTTCTCCTTCAGGCTTCCTGTCTGGGATGTGCACGCCCCTCCCCCAGGAGGGGTATGAGAGCCTAGAGGACATAGAGCCTGGCTGTGTGGGAATTTGGCCGTAGAGTCCACGGGCTGGGAAACAAAGATAAGATTGGGGACAGGGCTTAGGCTGAAGGAAGGAGCCCAAGTGTGGACGATTTCATTCATCCACCTTCTCATTCATCCACCCTTTCGTTCATCTACCCTCCCATTCACCCACCCACCCATTCATCTTCTCGTCCACTCATCTAACCCATGCACCCATCCCATTCAATAAGGGTCAGCAGGATGGCTCAGCGGGTAAAGGCAGTTGCCACCAAGTCTGAGTTCAATCCCAGGGCCCCTCATGGTGGAAGATGAGAACTGACTTCCTTTCCATTCAATGATTATCCCCCTCCTTACTGAGAAGGGGTTAGGGAGGCAGGCCCCCAGCTTTAGACCCAGCTCTACCCTTTGCACCTCCAGTCTGGAGAGCTCATTATTAGCCAGGGCCCAGGGTGCTCAGAGCAAGGTGGGGTGGGTGCCCTCAGACCCTGGCATGGTGAAGAGGGTAGAGGTGGTCTCACTTTCTCTCATTCTCGTTAGCCTCATGCGCCTGGGCCCCTTAGGTGAGAGCTATGAGCCATGCACATGATGTCCAGGGTGCCTGGGAAGACCTGTCCTGGTCCCTGGGCCTGGCTGCCTTAAATCTGTGGAGGTTTTTTGAAGAGGATACAGTGGAGAGAAGCCAACACTTGGGACAGCATGGGAGATGGGAGAAGGTTCCAGGAGACGGAGGAGGAGGGAAGGAACAGGCTACCAACTAGAGGCCAAGCCTACTTCATCTTCAACATGGGGCTAGACCTTGGGGGATTAATATATTCTCCTCTCCAGTTCTTGCATCCATCATCCCATATTTAAAGAGATGTTAGAAGGATGGGTATCCATACAGTGTGGACACACCCACCCTTCTGCCCCACAGGTGATCTCTTGAAGGTGGTACCAGCCACTTTGTCCCCCTCAGAACCACACCCTAATAGAAGTTTAGGGAACAAAGGCTTTCAGGAAAGCATGTCCACCAAGCTCCTGGCTCAAAGTTTTAAGTATGTGTCCCCCTCCTGGTGGCAAGTGGTTCTGTGCCTTTCTGTTGCTCTGTTCCTGTCTTTTGCAGGTCCCCTCCTTGGCTAAGCCTCCCTCTGTGGGCAGCCCTGGACAGGGTTTGGATGGTTGTCTGGGAAACAGGTGCTAAAATCTCAGCCAGCCACTCAATTGACAAGATTTTGTTGAAGCTGGGTCCTGGGGAAAGTGTGCCACCTGTCTGTCCTTTAATAATCGAGGCAGCTAGTGGCTGAAGGGCAGAGATTTTCTGCATTGTCAACGTGTTAGCCAGCTGTGCCAGCTTTTCCCACTGCCACCCCTGGGAGGGACATGTCTTCCGGGCAGTGTATTCAATCTGTGCTCCCAGCTGCTGTCCGCATTTAGGGTCTGTCCTTCATCTCCTGGGGGACAGAGGGCCAGCTGCACTCCTACCCCAGCTTTGGAAAAAAAGACCTATGAAATCATTTGTGCAAGCCCCTCCTTGGGGTGCAGCCTGGGAAGTGTGAAGGAAGAGGGTGCAGGGCATGGCAGGGAGGGAAGCAGGGAGGTCGAGGCACTGATAGCGTGGACACACACAGTGCCATCTGCAGGCTGGCGTCACCTGGGAGCTGTGTGCCTCTAAAGACTGGCTGAGTTGGGTTTTGGGGTGGGGCGGGGGAGGGCGGTAATGACACACAAGATGGCTGGGTGGTTCACCTGCAGGTCCTAGGCTGAGTGGGGTTTGGGTCCCAGTTCCCTCTTAGCAGCTGTGTGACTTTGGAAAAGTGACTTCATCTCTCTGAACCCCAGCCCCTTCACCTGCGAAGTAGTTTTGGATAAAAACCTGAGAGGATCAGTAGTAGTTTATGTGAAAGCCGATGTGTGTATGAGGGAATGAGTCCCGTGTGTGAGACCTATCTGCCAATATAGTAAGTAGCTGCTGTTCCTGTGTGGAGATCTAAAGGCATGCATGGTTGATGAGGGGTAAGCTTGATTTCTGACTAGGTGGATAATGGCAGGAAAGGTTAAAGGTATTCAGCTGCATTCCAGGGGTGTGTGTGTGACTAGAGGTGTGCCTTCTCTCTCCTTCAAGCTTTGCTTGGTTGCTGCTGTTGTTGGCATGAGAGGGCCTGACCCCAGGAGCTGGACAACAGCCAGTACCTAACACACACTTACTTTCCCTTGAGCCTTCTCTGCCCTCCCCCATCAGGGCAATGTGGCCAGGAGTGATGATTCAGCCCTGACCTGTGTCCTGGGCCTTCACCTCCCTCAGGGGAAGCCCCAAACGCCCTGGGGTGAGGGTAGGTAGCCTGGTACCCCTGCCCTTCTCTGTAGCCCTGCCCTCTTCAATAAAGGGTGACCAGCTCTGGATACTGTGTAACCTTGAACAGATGCAGCCTAGGTCTCAGTTTCTGTCTGTGGGGAGCATCTAGGGAGATAGTCCCAATTGTGTGAGTCCCTGAGATCCCTTCTGTGTCCTCTGTTCTCTGCAGTTCCAGACTTGAGCTCAGGGCAGATATGGGCCCTGCCATGCCATGGTTTAAGGCGGAAGTGGACCCCTATCTCCTGGGAGCCTGCAAGGCCAGCTTGTGTGGATAGAGGAGGAATTTTTCCTCAGTGTGTGCAAACAGTATCCATTTTCTCTTGTTTCCAAAAGCTGGTGATGTAACCAGCCCTTCATCCAGTCCTCCCCTCTGGCCTATTTTTAGCCTGGCCCCACAGCTTCTTAAGAGTCTCAGACCTCCTTGCTCAGCGACCATGTAGGGAGGGTAGCATGGAGTGAGCAAAGACAGAAGCCTGCCTGTTTGTCCCAAGGCGGAGGAGGGTAGGCACAGGGCGCCAGCTCTTCCGGGAAGGGAGGGGATCTCAGTGAGGCGCTCAGTCTTGGCTGCCCCTGCCCTTACCACACATTGGAAAGAGTCTCTCAGCCATGCTTTGTTTATCTGCTGTGACATGGGGATGATGGTGCTATGCATCCCACCCACTGCTGGAGGCCTGAGTTACATCATGTAAACCTCTCTAAGGGGAAGCTGGTGCTGTTATTTTTGTAGTATCCTCCTGGATTGTCAGAGCCCCCTGGAGCTGCCCCTCCTCATTGCATGGTTAATGTTGGGGTACACATTAACCTGTGTACCCTGGCCCCTGCCGTTTTCTCTTCAGCTTCAACTAATGGGTGTGTAAACGAAACAGTGTGCACAGAGTTCTCAGGCTCTGGCCTATAAGACACACTGCAGCAGGAAGGGCTGGACCTCTCCAAGGATTGGTTAGGTGTGTGCCTTTGGGCAAGATATTTAACCACCAGGAGAGCTTAGTCTCTGCATCTGCAAGACTAAAACCTGCACAGGCAATTTCTGTGGCCTGTGAGGTGTGTTCCATATGGCCTTGATAATAGTGTTTAGCATGGAAAGCTTGCTTCTTGAGAAGAGTCTTAAAGCCTGGCATTGGTACTCTACCTTACAGTGACAGCTGGGCTAACAGCACCTGTATAGCCCTTCACAGTTTGCATGGAATAGGCAGTGTTCTTTCCCATCTGTGTCCCCATAGTACCATGCCTGTGCCTCAAAGGTGGCATTTGTGGTTAGCACCAGTCCACTGTCTGGTTGCTCTCTAGGCTGGGAGTTCCCAGAGGGCAGGTGGGTTTTCCTGGGCATCTTTCCTGCCCTTCCTGGACGATGAGGGTGGGAACTGGGGGGGCTGGCAGGAGGAGGTCCTCTGACCATTTATTCTTGTTGTTGCAGATGGGAAGAAGAGCTGGCCAAGCGTATGAACCTTCAGACCATGGTTGACACACTGCAGGAGGTAAGAGTCCTCAGAGTTCCCAGCAGGGAGGTTTTCAAGTTAGCAGTGGGGCCGTGATGGAAAAAGTTGGGCAGAGAGTCCTAGCATAGCCTCTTCCCTGATCATTCTCTGCTACCTAGGCCATTTACGGGGCAGAAGAGCTCAGGCACAGGACTTGGGAAGTCTGGGTCTTACTGGTGACTGGGGCCAGCTGCTTCCCACTCCTGCCTTTCGACCTCTAGGTGCCATTTGGGCTAGGTGGTCTGCAGGTTCCTTTGACCTTCCAGCTGCAAGTTTCTCAAATTAGGACTGATGCCTTGGAGAGACCACACATGACCTGTACCACAGCCCAAGCAGGCTCTGGGCAGACCTGAGGATGCCTTGTTGCTCTCTCTGGCTACTCTGCATTCCCGGCTGTGCCACTCACACACTTACCGGGAACCCTGAGCAGCACACTTTATCATCAGCCTGTTTCCCCTTCTTTATCTGCCACATGGGTCAAGACCAGCAACACCGTGAGAAGGCAAAGCAGAGTTAGTTTAATTGTTTTTTTTAACAGCTGGGTGTGATGGCTCACACCTATAATTAATTACTTGGGAGGCGGAGTCAGGAGGATGAGGAATTTAAGGCCAGTCTGGGCTGCTTAGTGAGTTCCAGGCAGCTTGGGTTTCATAAGCCCCTGATTCAACAAAACCAAGTTGGGCTGGAGGTGTGTCTTGGTGTCCGAGCACATTGCCTGTCTTATGCATTGCTCCAAGTTTGATCTCTAGCACTGAGAAAAATATTAAAAATCAGGAGTGTTTATTTTCCAAGAAAGCGAGAGACAGGGCTCAGTTGGTAGGATGCTTGCTTAGCATGCACACACCTGGGTTTCCAGTGGAAACAGTGTGGTGTACACCTGAAACCCCAGCATTTGAGACGTGGAGCCAGGAGGATCCTTTCAAGGCAGAGCTGTTGTCAGATGCCTCCCAGATGCATTTGGGAGGCAGAGCCAGGCAGATATCTGAGGTTAAGGCTAGCCTGCTCTACAGAGCAAGTTTCAAGACAGCTAGGGATACCAGAGAAACTTTTTAAGTTTAAGGTCACACCCTCAACTACAGAGGGAGTTTGGTCTCAAAAAAACAAAGAAACAAAACAACAACAACAACAACAACAAAACAAAATAGGAAAGCTTGTTTTCTTTTCTTTTTTTTTTTTTTTCAACATATTCACAGCCAGATATTGAAAAAGTTCAGAAAATCACAAAGGTCAAAACTACCTGCAGTTCTTCCTTCTGGCTTATCAGTGTGTGTGTGTGTGTGTGTGCGCGTGTGTGACCTCCCAGCCTTTTCTGCACAAACATGCCCACATCCCAATCAGTACCTTCTTAGAACAAGGGCATGAAGTTATCATTTTCAAGGCCAAAGCTGGTCAGACATTGGTACCTGGTGAATTGGGGGTTAACATTGTATTTTTAAGTGCTGGGGAGTCTGCTGGCCTTAACCTACCCTAGCTCCTGATAGCGGCCTCTCATTTTTCTTCGCCATAAACGACCCCCAGGAAGCATTGGGAGCAGTCACCACGGCTCAGCAGCCAGACTGGGCTGAAGGTCATGGATGTTTAGCTTATGAAGACACTGAGTGTCCAGAGCTCTGGACCCAGGTGTCCATCCTGTCCTCCCCTTTAAAGCCTGCCTATCTCCATCCATCCGCAGGCAGCGCAAGAAGCCGAGGCTATCCAGGAGGAGATGAACGAGAAGATTGAACGGCTCAAGGCTGAGCTGGTGGTGTTCAAAGGGCTCATGAGTGACGTAAGTGGCGTGGCCGTCACCCTAGGCATCATGACCTCCCTTTACCCATCATGCCAAATGCTTCATTCACTCCGAGGCTCGAGCTCGGCTTGTAGTTACAGTCGTGGCTGGCTGGTTTGTTCCAATGAGGGATGCATCAGGGACCAGGCGCCTCCCACCCTCCCCACATTGCTTCCCTGTGTCTGAATAGAAGTGCTTTAACCGCTGCTTAACCCATTGCCCTCCTCCTCGGGCCCCTGACATCTGTATGTGTTCTTGCCATGTGATGACCTCGGTGTCTACAGAGCACAGACAACCAAATGGACTTCAGGCTCAGGGAGCCCACCCTCCTGTAGGTTGTCCTTGTTAAGTTGGGAATGGCTGGTGTGCGCGTCTTCTTGGCCACGTGGGGCCCCTCTGAGTGACCAGCCATGAGTGGAAACAGCTGTTATCTGCACAGGCCTCCTTTACTCCTCGATGTGGGCTTCTTGCCATCTCTAGGAGTGGGCATTCTGCTAGGAGAGCCCACCCGAAGGAAAATGAGCCTGGGTTTGGTGACTCAGCCTGGCTCAGCTCCTGGCTTTCAGGGTCATGCAGTTGAGTGTGGCTAGACGTTGTGGGATCCAGGTGGAGGCCACCTGTCTCCATTCACTTGGGTGCAGAGGGAACCCTCGCTCTTTCTATGTGACCCTGCTGCCATCTGCTGCAGGGATCTAGAGAGAGTGAGTGAGCGTGAGGGCCGCTGGGCAGGCACGTTATGGGGACAGTGGGGCATGAGTGTGGCCACAGAAGGGGAGTCTGTGCACTTGTGTATGTGTGTGCATGTGCTGGGGAATTAAACCAAAGGCCTTGGCCTTGTTGTTAGGCAACGCGCTCGCTCACTGAGTGACACCAGCCTTGGAAGGGTTCCTTTCCATGGTCTCGGTGCTCTTGCTTGTCCTCTACTCCAACGAAACCAGCATTGCCGTGCCCTGCAGCCGTGAGGGGGGCCAGCACACACAGCCTCACATCTTCCCTCCTGAAGTCCCCATGACCCCACCCACCCTCAGGAAAGCCTCGACACCCAGCCCCTGCAATTGACTCCAGGGCCTTCCCCACCCCTAGGGTTCTGCCTACTCCTCTGATGGCCCCCCCCATTCTCGCTCCATCCCTCGCTCACGTAACCCCTGCTGTCCTCCCTGCAGCCCATGACAGACCTGGACACAAAGATCCAAGAAAAGGCTATGAAGGTGGACATGGACATCTGCCGCCGAATCGATATCACGGCTAAGCTGTGCGATGTCGCACAGCAGCGGAACTCGGAAGACGTGTCCAAGATCTTCCAGGTGACCAGGGCTGGCCCCTCTTCACCAGTCCCCACCCCAACCTCTTAGAGCAAGCCCTGACCTCCACCACAATCTTTCCACGCCTCTGTCCCTCCACATTTTGCTTGGCCCCCCCATCCCGAGATAGTCAGTCACCTGACCCTCTGACCTCCCCTAGGGAGACGCAGACTTGGGGATTTGTAGTTTACAGCTGAGGAGACTATTGAGGGATAATAGTACGTACTAAGAAAAGACATGGTAGGACTGGGCTGGAACCCACATCTCCTGGCTCTCCAGGCCGTGTCCTTCTATGCCCACTGTGTCTCACGAAGCCCCTCTCCCTGAGACTTCCGAATTGTTTCTATGGTGGGGGAGCCCTGGCCTGGTGATGGGGAATCCTGACAACTGGCCCTCAGAATCCCAAAAAGTTATTGGTTTTTGCCTAATTCTCATTCTCCCAAAGGTTCCCTGTATACACACCCCGGCCCCTGGTTTCCCATACAAGAGAGAAGGCAGTTGGTTGGCACCAATGGGCAGTTCTGGAGAGGGCCTAGTTGTGGTCCTGCTGACACAGGGCACATGCCATTCTCGGAAGTTTGGGGTCATAGTTTGGCCTGTGTTTTAGCCCAGGGCAGTGCTGTGTGTTGTTGCTATCTGTGTGTGACTCTGAATATAATTGGGGGAGTTGGGAGCCTCCCCAAGTCCTTTCTCCAGCTCATGCCTTTTTGCTGCTTCCTGGGGGACTGATCCCTGCGGGGAGCTATACAGTCCTCGGTGGCTTGGGTCTTGTGTGCTTGGAGCAGAAGCTTGGTAAACCCTCTGCATGTGAGAAGGTTCTGAAAGCATGCGGCTATTCTGACCTTTGTCAGGGTTTCTTGGTTTCTCTGGCTGGCTTTGAGACATCCCAGGTGATGGTACCATGGTCTGGCCTACCATTGTTCCAAATCATGGGGCTGCTTTTCTGGTGATGGGCGAGCTGAGCTGGCCCAACCGGGACTTGGTTCCTGTGTCTGTGTTGTCCGTCCATCCTGCATGCCTCATGCTTCATGCTTCCTGCTAACACTGCCTGCTTCTTAGAGGACCTATGCAGAGCTCCCTGCGGTGGTGGCTGCTCCAGCCATATTCCATCTACTCGTTGGGACACCAGTTCATTTCCAGGTTTATCCCCCCCCCCACACACACTCCATCCCAGCCAAACACCCCAGTTACCTTGGTATCTTCCTTCTCTATCCAGGTGGTCCCTAAGAAGAAAGATCGTAAGGTGGCTTCGGATGATGACATCTCTGAGCAGGATGGGGAGGTGAATCGGTTCTCAGATGAGGAGGTTGGCTCCATGAACATCACAGATGAGATGAAGCGCATGTTTAACCAGCTGTGAGTATCTAGGTTGCCAGCAAAGGGACAAATATCAGTGGCTGGCCAAAAAGGGCCCCAGATGTAGTATGTTTTGGAAGAGTTTGGATTATTTGTGTGTGTGTGTGTGTGTGTGTGTGTGTGTGTGTGCACTTGTGTGTGTGTGCACTTGTGTGTGTGCATGCTAGTGTGGGTGCATGAAAGCCAGAGATCAATCTTGGGTGTCATTTCTCAGGTGCTGCCCACCTTGTTTCTGGGAGGCAGGGTCTCTCATTGGCATGGGGCTCACTGGTTAGACTAAGTTGGCTGGCCAGCGAGCCTCAGGGATCAGCTGTCTCCTCCTTGTCCTGGGATGATAAATTCACACCACCAGAGCAGGCTCGCCCCAGAGTCAGAGATCCTCTTGCCTCTGTTTCCTGAGTGCTGGGATGAAAGATGTTGCACCTCTACTGCCTGGCTCCATGCCCGGCTTTTTAACGTGCATTCTTGGGATTGAACTCTGGTCCTCATGCTTGCAAGGCAAGCACTTTACCCACCAAGCCAACTTTCCAGCTCCTGGATTCATTTCTTTAAAAAAGTTTTAAAATATTTTTTAATTTAAAAATATACCTATTTTTAAATTTTGTAACATTATTTTGATGGTATGAATGTTTTGCTGCATATATGTCTGTGTGATGATGTTGGATCCCCTGGAACTGGAGTTACAGATAGTTGTGAGCTGCCATATAGGTGCTGGGAACTGAACCCAGGTCCTCTGGAAGAGCAGCAGGTGCTCTTAACCTCTGAGCCGTCTCTCTAGCCCTGCTGGATTCTGTTTTTAAACAGAGAGTTTGGGACGCTTTTTGTTTTAAGCCTCTCTTTGGAGGCTCAAGGCCAGATATGCATGGCTGGGTATCTAGTGCCTCCCATATTTGGGAAGTGTGCCCATGATTTTTTATGTCACCTGCTACCCTCTCAGTCCTGTAGAACACCCCCTACCTAGGGAGGTTCAGGGAGAGGATTACTTCAACTAGGATTGTCCTTCCTTGCCCAAGGGATGAAAAGACAGGGCTGTCCCATCTCTTCGCTCTTCGTGTATAGTGTCTGATGACTTCATGAATCCAGGGAGGGCCAGTAATCACCACGCATTCCTGGCCCACTCTTCATCTCTCTTGGTGGGCTGGTGAGTTGACTCACACATAGTTCATGGGAAGACCCTTGATAGCCACCAAGTGTCGTCCATGAAAAGACACTTAGCTGACTCCAGACTTTCACCAAGCAGGCAGGGTCATTATTAACCTATTGAAGGCTCTGAGGGGACTCAGCAGGACATGACAGAGTTGGTACTCAGACTGTAATCTGCCACTCACTAGCATTCCCTCCCCAGGAGATGCCAGCTGAGTGGCAGAGTCTGGCATGAGTATACTGGTGATAGCCAGAGCCAAGTGGTACCAGTCTTTGGGAGTTGTGTGTATGTTTGTGTGTGTATTGTCTGTGTGCAGGCTCAGTGATGTCACATTGGTAGCTTAGACTTTTTCATTGCAAGAAATCTATACATTCAGGGCTCTCCTACCAAGCCCTGTAGAGACCTGTGCACCAGAACCCATTGAATATATTGCCCTGGAGCTGGGGGGTGGGCGGGCACTGCAGCCTTGGTATGTTTGGTGCTTTGTTCTGAAACCCGACCCACTTTTAATTCTAATCCATACAGTGCCAAAAGGGAGGGTTGGGAGAAGACACTGGGTGAGTCAAGGGCAGGGCTGGGAACCCCATGCTCTTGGGCACCTGGACTCTGAAAGCTCAGCCCTGCCACAGCTGGCACCATCCAAAGATCAGGCCACCAGCTCTGTGACCGCCATATGAGGGAGGTACTTCAGGATCACACAGTAGGCAGAGGCAAGCCCACTTATATGGTTCAGTGCTCTGTTCCCTTAGCCTCTTCCTGCTTGGAAGAGATGTCCATCTTCTCTCTGCTACATCACTGTCCCTGGCTGGTCTCTCTTTGGCCTAGCTAGGTACTTAGAGAGCACGAGCAGAGCATTGGGAGTCCCTCACCTGACACCTGATGGCCCTTGACATTTGCTACTGATAATGCCAAGGATACCCCTTGACTCTTTGCTCATCTTTCAACTGGAGTCTTCCCTCTACGGACAAGAGGGTGTCCCCAGCCGCCACTATGTAGTCATTCTAGACTTGAACTTCTGGTCTTCCTGCCTTGAATACTAGGACTCATGCCTGGTTTTGGCAGTGCTGAGGATCAAACCCAGGGCTTCCCATACATGACAGAAAATCACTCTCAACTGAGCTGCAGCTTTAGGGTTGCTTGGGGGATCCCTGAGTTAAGTCACTACTGGATGTTTAGACACCCAGATCACCTTCGTTTTTTTTAACAAAAGGGCTCCTCAGAAGAAATCAGTTATCTGGGGTATTTCATGAAGTTGCTAGGGAATCAATCGTTAAGCTGGTCAGAAATGAGGTACAGTGCAGAGGTACCCACCATCCAGAGAGCTGAGTTGGGTCACCTTTGGTGAGGGCTCCTTCTTGTTTCTGGAAAATGCATTCAGCTGTGAGTAATGGAATAGTGATCCCTCTTGTGGTGGGCACTGGAGTGTTGACAGGGTTCAGTGTCTAATTAGATTTGTCTGGCTTTAAAGTTGCCTAAATTTAAAAAGAAATTAAATTCTTTGATCGCCCCACGCCTATCATGTTGCTGCGGCTGGTGTTAATGACCGATGCCGGCTCTTTCCTGGTTTCTTCTTTCCCGCCTGATATCTCTGTGAGCCCGCCCCGTGGCTACTCCCACTCCCACCCCCAGCCACTGCTAGTGAGGCTTTTGAATGACACACCCGTGTCAGAACCCTGTTTTGTTTTGATCCAAATCAGTGGCTTGGGCTTCAGACCAAGGCTGAGAAGAATTTCAACCGCCTTCCAAAGTCCCAGGGAGGGGCGGGGGCTCTTTCCGTCTCTGCAGTCATCCATCTTCTGTCTGTTCTGGCTAGCCATCCTTCAGTGGGGCTTCCCTTCAGATCTCAGACACTGGAAAGGAAATGAAGTCAGTAGTGGACTATGTGATGTGCTAATGGGTGGACCCCAGGGGCTCAGAATGGCCTCCTCCTCCAATATCCAACTCCAAGCTTATTTCCTGACTCACGGGCGCCACCTAGGCGGTTCTACAAGAATTGCTGTTGGGCAAGGGAACCAGCCTGGCTTAGCTCTAGAGGGCGCTGTAGGGAGGGTTCTTTTATTTATTTATTTATTTATTTATTTATTTATTTATTTATTTATTTTTCGTTTTTGTTTAAATCGAGCTCCATTTATGTTGCTGCTGGCTGGTCCCCAACTAATAACTTGCTTTTGGGTAGCCATTTTTCTTTTGAACAGAAATATGTCCAAGGAGTGGGGGGGTGGGGGGTGAGGTGTTTCTGAGGAGATATTTTTGTTGTTTGTTTTTGAGACAGGATTTCTCTGTGTAGCTTTAGAGCCTGTCCTGGAACTCACTCTGTAGACCAGGCTGGCCTTGAACTCACAGAGATCTGCCTGCCTCTGCTTCTGTCTCCCAAGTACAGTCAGACTCTGAGGAGATTTTTTTAAAAAAGATTTATTGTATTTATGTGTATGAGTGTTTTGCCTGTGCAGCATGTGTGTGTAGTGCCTGTAGAGTCCAGAAGAGGGTGTTGGGGCCCAGAACCAGTGTTAACAGTTTTTACACCACATGTGGGTACTGGGAACTGTTCTAGTCCTCTGCAAGAGCTGTAAGTGAGTGTTCTTCACTGCCTAGCCATCCCTCTAGCCCTGGGGTGGGGTGGGGGTGTATTTTGACACAAGGGTTTATACCATAGCTCAAGTTGATTGGAGCTCACTATATAGCCCAGGCTGGCCTTGAATTTGATCCTCATATCTCATCCTCCCCAACTCTGGGATTATAGACATGCACCACACTACTTTTGACCTAAAACCAGACTTCTAATTGTACAGAAACGTTCGCATTTGAAAGACTAAAGCTCTTTTTGGATAAGACGTTGGCTTTGGCTACCACCCCATCTTTGTTGAGACCGCCTCATGGGTGCACACTCACTGGGGAAGGTGCCCCCTTCTGTCCTCTGTATGTGCCCCAGGAGCCTGGCTTCTGTTAAGTCACACCCTCTGGTATCACCCACAGGCGGGAGACGTTCGATTTTGATGACGACTGTGACAGCCTGACCTGGGAAGAGAATGAAGACACGCTGCTACTCTGGGAGGATTTTACCAACTGTAACCCGACCATTGACCTCCAGGGCGAGGTGAGCGCAAGCCCTGCCTTCTCGGGGGGGGGGGGGGGGGGGGTCTTTCCCATGATCCCTCATTTTTGCCCTTTTCATGCAGCCTGTGCTTCCCAGATAAACTGTTTACTCTGTCTCCCCAGCAAGAAGAAAACTTGGGCAACTTGATCCATGAGACTGAATCCTTCTTCAAGACAAGAGACAAGGAGTACCAGGAGACGATAGGCCAAATCGAGGTAAGAGCGTGGGCCATGGGGCCTGGTGCTGAGCCTGCCGGGACTGCATGGCTGAGAGCCTGGGTGGGCAAGTGTCCATGGAAAGGCAGGCTTACAAAATGGGAAGAGCAAGGGAGTTAGGAGGCAGGGGCCCGGCATCGCAAACCTGTCCTTATTAGGGTGTTGGTTTCCTAATCTATAAAGTTGGGCCGTGATTCTTGCCTCCCCTAAAGAGGCTGAGGCAGGACACTGCCAGTAACAGGCTTACCCGATGCCTAGCATCATTTGGCATCACTCTGAAGTCAGCTCTGGTTGTTCTGGGTTATCCTTACCTCTCCTCAGCTGCAGGGACTGGGTACGCATACAGAGGAGGAAATGATGTCCAAAAAGGCCAAGTCCCTTGACCACTGTTTCCAAGTCAGGAAGCACTATTCATGCCAGTGTGCTTGGCCACTGGTGTACAAGAGTTAGTGTTGGAGAAGGAGAAGCACAGAGTCCTTCCTCCTCCCTGGAGGAGCAGGTGTCAGAGGAGCAGGAGAAGGCTAAGAGACATGAAGAATTTCCTATTCCTGCCCATAGCCAGTTCCCCAGAGATACTGAGTACAGGAAAGTCCCCTGAATCAGATGGGGCTTAGCCAGACAGACCTCCTCTGGGGTTGCTAAGCAACCACCCCCCATTTGACCAGAAGCATGTCTGAAGGATATTGACTGGTGTGCAGAGAGAATAAGGAAGGTTGATGCCCACAAGGCAGAGACTTGAGGGCAGAGTGTCCAGGGATAGTCCTGATGGCACCAGACCATCCTGGATGGAAAAGGGTGGTTGCTGCTGCTGGTAATCCGAGGCTGGAAGGTCCCCCTTACCACCTTTATTCCACATTGACTCCTTCCAGCTGGAACTGGCCACAGCCAAGAGCGACATGAACCGGCATCTACATGAGTATATGGAGATGTGCAGCATGAAGCGAGGCCTAGATGTACAGATGGAGACCTGCCGCCGGCTCATCAAAGGCTCTGCAGACAGGTATGGCCCCTGCTCCCCAGGCTTCTGTGGTGGGGGCCTTAGAGAGACATTCTTGGGTTGCATCATGCCCTTTCATTACATTTTCATTTTCCTGACTGTCTATCTGTCCATCCATCCATTCATGCGTCTATCCATGCATCCATCCATCCATGCATGCATCCCTCCATCCCTCCTCCCTTCATACACATGCATCCATGCATGCATCCTTGCATGCATCCATGCATGCATCCATGCATCCATCCAAGCCCTCTGTATAAGCATACCTACTCTGTACTAGGTGGTTTATGCACCTAATTTCACAGAGTTTCTGTTTAAAACAACATCGACTCAACAGATAGTTGTCAAAGGCACATTGCGTGCAAGACCATCTGAGTTTGCTTTCTGTTGCTGTGATGAAACACCATGCCCAAAAGCAAGTTGGGAAGTTAAGGGTTTGTTTGGCTCCCATTTCCACAGTCCACTGTTGAGGGAGGTCAGGGCAGGCATCTGGAGTCAGGGATTAGCAGAAGTCAGGGAGCAATGCTGTTTACTGACTTGCTTCCCATAGCTTGCTCAGCCTGCTTTGGATGCCATCCACCTGCCCAGGATTGGCATCACCTGCAGTGGGCTGCATTCTCTCTCACACGTCATTCATTAATTAAGAAAATGCCCTGCAGACTTCGCCTACAGATCAATCTGGTAGAGGCATTTTTCTTAACTGAGGCTCCCTCTTCCCAGATGACTTTGGCTTGTGACAAGGTGACCAATAAATAAATAAATAAATAAATAAATAACAACAACAACAAAAACTACCAAAACAACCAAAAACAAAAAAAAAAATCTACCCAGCATAGTGTCTGATGATGGAAAGTCAGAGCCTCTGCCCTTGGGGAGTGAATCCCCCCTCCACGTTGTCTACTGAGGTGGGGATGCAGGAGGTGGGCAGAACCCACACCTCACTATTGCTAATTAGGCTTCTATTACGTCCTTCCTCCTTTCTCATCTTTCAACCCCACGCACATGGGCCTGTGCATCAGGTGTGGTATGCAAAGGCAGACCCCCTTCAGGACATCCAGCCTTGTTGGGGAACAGACACATACATAATAGGATGGGAATGCTTGGATCAAAGCTCAGGTGCCTTTTCTTGTGCCAGTTGTCGCTGTGTAAGAGGGAACAGTGGCTGTATGGAAAGTGTAGTGGGTCCAGAGGTTGACTTCACCTGTCCAACCTTTAGCTAATGGAATCCCCTAGAATCCACTGTTATCATATGCAAGTGGAACTGCTTACTAGGGATCCCTCAGGCAAACTGAAACCCAGGGCTGTTTCCTCCAGTGTGTGTAGTCCCCGATGTGTTCTCACTTATCTGGGGTTTACTGGGTACCACTGTGCTCAGACCAGGAATGATGGATGGTTACAGCATGAAGAACCAAGCTGGACCCATGAACCCCGCTCCCAGACTAAACAGTGGCTGGGGCGGGGGTCCTAAGGAGTCATAAGAGCCATAGGCAGCTCATGGAAGCTGTAGGGGCTGGAGGAAAGTGTAGCCTGGCCAGGGGCATGGAAGGAGCCCTTCAAGGTAGATCCCGTTTGGTTCTTTTTATGTTATTGCTGGGGGTGGAACCCAGGGTCTTGTGCACACTAGACAAATGTTCTGCTCACCCCAGCCCCTTAGGGCACCTTTTTACAGGTGTGACTGCTGGGGTTCCTGGCCCTGGGATGTCAGGGGACCCAGGCTGCTCTCTAAAAGTCTCCTCTTCCTTCCATGCTTTTCAGGAACTCCCCATCCCCCAGCTCTGTGGCCAGCAGCGACTCAGGAAGTACAGATGAGATCCAGGATGACCTGGAGCGGGAGGCAGATGTGGAGCCCATGGTCAGCTGATAATGGAGGTCAAGTGCAACTGGTCTTGGTGATGGGGCCAGCCTCCTCTCCTCACCGAGCCACGAGGGCTCCTCACCACACAGACTTCTGTCCTCCCTCCTGCGGAGGCCCAGCGGGACCGCTGCTTCCTTCCTTCCTTCCTTCCTACACCGCCCACCTACCCACCCACCCACGGAATGGTGCTGTCGATTTTCTATCGTTCTCCACATCACAAATGCAGACTTCTGTGCGACGATGCAGTGCAACTGTGCCTTCTCCCTTAAGCTGAGCCACTTTGAGCTCCAAAGAACTCTTCCTAGCGGGTGTTTTTTATACAAACCTCTAAGGTGAGGGCGGGGCCTGGGGTGTGGCGTCTGTTGGTTTTCTCCCTCTCACCTGCTCCTCTGATTGGCCATGAGCTTTGCCCTCCCTCCCTCTGTGTGAAGTCGGTGGCCACTTGGGGAAATCTGCCTTCCAGAGGAAAGAGGCTGCTTGTCCAGACCTGGGTGAGCATTCCCTGATGCTTTCTCACCCACTGAAAGTCAGAGAGATGGGTGGAGTGGTGGGAGGGAAGATCAAATTTTTTTTCTTCTTCTTCTTCTTTTGGATCAAGTGGCGATGTGTTGGGGCAAGGCACTGTGGGGGATGGTAGCGCCTCACTGTTTAAACTATGCAAAAACAAAACAAAAACAAAAAGCAGCTTGCCTTATATCCGTGGGGAAGGCAGGGCCCTCTCTCAGACTCCTGGGAACTGGGAGGGAGGCCAAGGTTAGCCTGAGACCCTCATGACCAATGAGGGTGAGCAATGGATTTGGGGGTGGCCCCATTCAGATCCCAGTGAGGCCTGCATTCTGTAAGCTGACCCACTGGACTGTTGGCTTTCTTGGGGACCTCTGTGGGGTGGGGTGGGGTGGGTGGGGTGGTGGTCTTTTATTGTCCTGATGACTTGATGTTCTTTCCCACCTCTCCAGCCACCTGCCAGGTTCCACAGTTGTAATTTCTCTGTGAGAAAGTATGAACAGGCCAGGCCACTGGTACCCATTCCGTCCGCCCATGGCTCCACCTTGCTCCTCTGTTGTCCCTCTGGCTAGAAAAAAAGCCTTGTGGGGAAGAGGAGGGAGGTGGTAAGGCTCCTGCCACGCTGGCAGGAGCAGGCGCTGAAGCCCCAAGTGAGGACTATCCTCATTCTTGTATCTAGGCTTTTCCATACCCACTTGGTTAGACTCTTGAGGAGTCACTCTGAGCCAGTGTCTCCCCAAGACACCAATGGGCCTGAGTTAAGGGGCGGTAAGAGAGACCATACATCTCGTCTCAGCTAGGAGCTTATCTAGCAATCAGGTTTTATTTTTATTTTATTTGTTCTTATTTTTGTGTCCACTCTAGTGGTTTTGATGGCCTATGTTGTTTTTGTTGATCCAGAAGCTCCCTCTGGAGGTCAAAGGAACAAAATTACCCAGGGACCAGAACCCATGGGCACTCTGAGGCCTGTGTGTTGAAGGGTAGGGGACTCTGGGCTGGAGCCATGGTGGTATCCCCATTCTCCTCTGCATCCTTGTATCTCTTTGATGTGTTTTGCATTTAGAACCAGTGTATATAATAGGCAAATGTATGTATAGAGAAGAGAGAGAATGTATTTGTTGGCTATTTCTTTATGTAATTTATCAGAATTTGGTGGCCTTTCTCGTGTGTTTTGCACGATGGGGTGGGGCACATCCACTGGTCCCTGTGCAGCCTGGCTGCAAGGGTTCACTTATCATCTCTTGGTGACCAGCCAGTCTTTACTGGCAGGTACTTAGAGGGACAGTGGTTCGGAAGAGACACAGCCCCTTCCCTCACCCCCTTTTCCACCAGCCAGTCTTTTAAAGGTTACAGGGTTCATTCGCTTCTGGTTATTATTATTGTGTTATTGATATTATTGTTTTGTTTTTATTTTAACCAAAGGGTATCAGAGCCAGATGGGCCTGGACCTTAGCTGCTGTAAAAATTTCCGTTTCCATGAGGGCAGAAAGGCAGCTGTCCCCATGGGTCTCCTCAGCTGAGGCTGGGGAAGTTGTCCATCTAGTGGTAGAGGCTGCAAGATGGACAGGCAGAATAGAAGCTGCCCTTGCTGTTCTTCAAGGTGGTGGTGTGGTGACACATATCTCTAGAGTTAAGACAGTAAGCTACAGTATAAACATTTGGGGTGACGAAGGTTACCCTGGAAGCTGGTGTCCTGCGGTGTTATTTTTGCTTTCCCAACTATATACATAGGTCATTTGTCCAGGCTTATGAGAAAGGCAGGCTCCATCATGTTCCTCCCTGCCGGCTGCTTTCCCCTGGGGAGTGAGGATCTGAGGCAGGAGGATGATGGGAGAAGAACAAGGGAGTGGTGGTCATGCATCCTGGGCTGGTTCTGGGGTCTGGGCCTGGCCTCTCTCTTTTTTTCAGTTTGTTGCTAGTGGGTCCTGCTTGTCCCCTCACCGTGAGCCCACAGCTTGCCAAGAAACACCCCACCGCTCACCAGGGCAGCGCCTGCCCAGTCTGGACAAACTTGTCCATCCTTGTAAACATGTACATACTTCCTTTGAGTTTTCTATTTCTGAGCCCGGTGTCATATTGACACTGGTGTTTCAGGGCTTCTCAGATGGGCTCTCCATGCTGCCCTTGGTCATGCTCCTAGTTTGGGGGCCACAAACACAGGCACAGCAGGGAGGCTGGGACGACCCTGATTGGTCGTCTCACACACACACACACACACACACACACACACACACACACACTCACTCCTCTAAGATCCCAAAGGAGAACGAGTGGGAAGAGGTTTTGTCTCCCCGTGGCAGTGTGTCTGGAAGGCCTGTCCACTTTGGACTCTGCTCTGGGGGTGGAGCTCAGATGACCTATGGAGTAATCAAACCACTTTGACTTTGGGGCGGGCAAGGGGGTGGGCTAAGGGATAACTTAAGCTAAAGGTATTCTATTTATAAAGCAAGAGTCTCTATTTTTATGAAAGGAAGAGGTTTTTAATGTAGGGTAGGCAGTCATGGTGGCCCAGCATTTTGCTGTGGATGAAATACCACCATGTTTGTTGACTCGGGGTGTGTAGCCATCAGTAATCCTTTCCTCGCCTTGCCTTCTGTCTTCACTGGCGCAGAAGTGGCTTTTCCTTCCCTCCTCAGCCCTCACTCAGCTCCTTGGAAGTCTTGGAAGAGAGCTGGGGGCTCTAGGCAGGGACAGGTAAGTGGATTGCAGGAAGCCGAGGTTGGGTGGGGGGGTGCTTCAGAGGTAGGATTTAATTAGGTCCCCTCTGTCCCCTCTCAGCTGCGTGGAGGCCTAGTTGGGAACCACTGTGGGCGTGGGGTAGGACTCCTTCGGGGCCTGGGGCTGACTGTGTCTGCAGGTGCACTGCAGCTGGAGTAGGTACAGAAGTGACCCAAGAAGCTGAGTTCAGCCCTGGCTGTGTGTACTCCAGGCCAAGGTCCAGCTTGCAGTCTTTGCACCCTGGATGAAGGTGCAGAGCTCTGAGGATTGCCTCAGACCTGTGTCCTCCCTCTGGGACTCTAAGCTTTTGTAGGGTAACTACCTACAGGGAGGATTAGGGAGGGGTCTGAACAAAACCATTCGCTCTCTCTGGGAGGGGATTTTCCACGAGTGAAGATTTCCAGGCTCAGTGTGGGCTGTGTGTGAGTCTTAGGCCAACTCCTCACTTTTCCCCTTCCCTCCCAAGCTCTCAAAGAACTGTGGTGAATGCCCACAACGCTCCTTTTACGCACAGTGTAGCATCCACCGGTTTTTAGTCCCACCCTGCCCCACGGTTGCTGTGTCTGTCAGCTGGGTCTAGAAATCACCGGGAGGGGTTTGTACTCACTAAAAGACTACTGACCCTACCAGAAAATCAACCTGTTTACTGTACTGTTGTAAATACCATGCCCTTTATATCCTGTATATTGGCTTCTTTTAAATAAAGTAAAAAATGTCTTAGAACGTTGGTGTGTGCTTCTTTTTGTCATGGTGATTGTGGGAGCAGTCAGAAGACTATAGCAAAGACATTAACCAATCAGTGATAAGATAAGGGAACTCACACCCTACCTATTTGTAGAAGGAGATATGGCAGGACTTGACCAAAGAATCCCGGAGAGATCCCAGGCTGACTGGCACTGTCCCGCCTCAAGTTGAAGTTCCACCGCTACAGAGCCCCCATTTCACAAACCTCCCCAGAGTGTCTACAAGAAGTACCGTTGGGTTCTGGATTTGATACTGTCCACTGTTGTAGTGACTTTAAACATTCAGAAGTGACATCACTGTACTGTGAGCTGCCTTTCCCAGGAAAGAAGGGTAACTGCTCGCGCTCACATTCATGCGGTGTCCTTTTCCTACTCAACATTCCTAGGTCAGACCTCCCAACGTGTCTCAAATGCTGGAACTGGGAGGAAAAGGGGGACAGGGGTGTTTGAGGTGGACGTTATCATACAGTTCTACAGAAGAGGAAACTGAGGCCCAGAGGGATTGTACTGGACAGTTTTTATGTCAACTTGATGCAAGCAAAAGGCATTTGAAAGGAGGGAACCAAAATTGAGAAAATTCCTCCATAAGATTAGGCTATGGGCAAGCCTGTAGGGCATTTTCTTAATTGACGACATAAGATTAGGCTGTGGGCAAGCCTGTAGGGCATTTTCTTAATTAATGACGGGAGAGGGCCCAGCCCATTCTGGGTGGGGCTACCCTGGGCTGGTGGTCCTGGGTTCTGTAAGAAAGCAGGTTAAGCAAGTCAGTAAGCAGCACCCTTCATGGCCTCTGCATCAGCTCCTGCCTCCAGGATCATACCCTGACAATGATGAACCAAATTAACCATTTCCTCCCCAACTTTGTTTTGGTCATGGTGTTTCATCATAGCAATAGTAACCCTCACAAAGACAGGTTAACTTGCCCGTATGGTATCAAACCAGAATTGGATAGAAGTGACCTTACAGTAAATGCCCTGGTCACACTGCCAGAGACATAGAAACACATTATTAAAATAAAGTAAGAAAACCCATACTGGCATCTTGGGAATATGATCCTAATGGTAGGCTTCAGAAGCAAGTGTGTGTGTGTGTTCTTGGGGGGGGGGTTCGAGACAGGGTTTTTCTGTGTGGCTCTGGCTGGCCTTGAACACAGAGATCTGCCTACTTCTGCTCCCCCTCCACCCCCAGTACTGGGACCACCGACCTGCTCTGAAGCTTTTCATGCAGAAAACTGATAATCTTTTTCCCGGTGGGGCAGAAGGACACAGAGGAAAAACTGTTTCTTGTGGCCAGAGGCTTTGGGAAAAAAGGAAGAGGAAGGAAGGAAGGAAGGGAGGGAGGGAGGGAGGAAGGGAGGGAGGGAGGGAGGGAGGGAGGGGGGAGAAATGAAAAACGTTAAGCACAGGCCCGCTGTGGTTTTTTTTATCATACTGATCCCAATATCATACTGATCCCAATCTGGAAGGAAGCAGGCCCTGGCATCTGGCTTGGCTCTGCTCCAAGCTGGGAGGCGGAGGGCAGATCAGGCTTCATTCAGGGTGGCAGCCCTCGAGGTGGGGGCAAGGAGCTGGCCTTAGTGTGGCCAGGCGGGCTCGAGCAGAGTGGTGGCCCGCAGGTGGCCAGCCTTCCGGCAGCCAAGGGTCTGGGACACCCCCTCCCTGCACCTGTCACGTGAACCTGGTCCCATTGCCCCATCTACCACTTAGCACAAGCTCCGTGCAGGATCTATCATTGGCTTCTGCAATTCTCCAGCCCGACCTAAGAAGTATGCAACTTGTCGGTCCCGCTGATTGGCTCGGACACGAGTAACTGTGATTGGTCGGTGACGCTCACGCCCCCCTCCGTGGATTATACCATAAGGAGAGGAGGAGAGGAGAAAAGAGCAACATTTTCAGGACATTTCTGTCCTGTTCCTTTGCCCCGAAGTCCACAGAGGCTTTTTTGATTACTAAATAAGGCTGCTTCTTATTGACAGGAGGGAGTGTTCGCACAGGGACCCCGAGGCAGTTGGACTGGGTGATGCTCCGCCTCCCGCAGAGGTGGTGCGTTCCGGGTTTGACTAGTCCAACCTTGCAGGGCAGACTCCGTGCTTCCCACAGTCGCACGGGACCCTCAGGCTTTACTAGATTCTCTTCCTGCCTTCACTGCGCGGAGCCATGCTTTCCCACGTCTGGAGGAGGGCAGGGTGAGTGAACCCCTTGCCCCGGGACTCTGAGAGCTGTGGGCGACTCCCTCCTTGCGGGTGCAACGGGCTATAGCCACCTTCTCAAGGGTCTCCATGGCTCCTGAGCTCGAGGGTCCTGTCCTGTTCCATGGAGACGGCCTCCCTTTCTTGGGTCTCACTAGAATGTCACTTTTCCATAGCTGACTCCTGCGGGCGTGTGTGGTGCCCCGGACTGTGTCGCACGCCCCCTTTCTTCCTAACGCTGGATATTCCAAATGTGTTGATTTCCCAGTCCTAGGACATCCCTTAGTTCACATTCTGGAGCCTCTTGATATATCCCACTCCCTTTTCAGTTCAATATTGCCCCCCCCCCACCGTGGGTCGGTGGGTACCATGATGACTTTTATAACGTGTGATGCTGGGTTCTGAGTGGCTTACGGCTTATCTGGAGATTTTAATAAACCCATTAAGATAAATTCCTGCTGGGCGGTGGTGGTGCACACCTTCAATCCCAGCACTGGGGAGACAGAGGCAGGTGAATCTCTGAGTTACATGACAACCAGGTCTACATAGAGAAACCCTGTTTTGGGGGCTGGGGAGGGGAGTGTTTAGCACTTGGGAGGCAGAGGCAGGCTGATCTCCGAGGATTCAAGGCCAGGCCAGTTTGGTTTATGTAGCCAGGGCTATGTCTCCACCGCCATTTTTGTTCAGACTTCTCACGAGAAGTCATTACAAGTAATGAAAACTCCAGGGCAGAGCTGCTCTTCAAGTCCAATTACACATCGTTGTTCAGCCAGAACCTTGGCACCCTCATCGACGTGTTCCAAGATCCTACCTCAGTGGGGCTCACATTCTGTTGGGCTTGGGTGTTATTCCGTGTTCCTGTCTGCCTTTTAGAATCACACAGCACCCATACCCCTGCTTTAGTTACTGCTTGCTGGCTCTGTGGCCTGGGACCCACTGTGTCTTCCTCCACTGAGTTGTGTGTGACCTTTTTGAGTTAATCAGTGACCCTTTCCCTGCCCCCTGTGGGATGGCCTGGGCCAGTTTCAACTCCTGTATGTCCTGGTGGGGACTGGCAGGAAGAAGAGATCGGGTGGGATGTACGCCTTTTTCAAACTGAGACTGTAGTCCTTCAAACTCCTGCGCGGAGGCCTCAGACACAGAGACCTTCTGATCGCTCGTAAAAAGCAGTCTGTGTTATAAAATAGTTCCGAATGCAAGCTAGCAAGTATGGTGGACCCCACACCGAGCCGAGGAGCTTGTGCTGTCCCCGTTTGCAGCTGGGGAACTCTGCCTGTTTGGGCAGATGTAACTGGAGTTACAGTTGGTCTGGATCCAGATCCCCTCTCTTCAGTGTGCAGCCTCCTGAGCTGGTAGGAGGAGGACTTTGCAACCAGTTCTCCAGGCTCTGGCTGCCTGCTTTTTGAAGTGTGGCTGGCCTGGCAGGAAGCCCAGATAGGTTTCTCAACATTCATTCATTCATCTTTGGAGCAGGTACCTGGGGGCTGCTCTGCCCTGCAAGCTGCTTAGAGCTTCAGACCTGTGCCCTTAGTGGCGATAGCTTCTTCAGTCATGACAGTCTTCAGATGTCTTCCTGTCATCAGTTGAGAGGCACAATCTTAGGACAGCTGTGGTTGTTTCTTCCCTTCTTCCCTCCTTCCCTTTTTTCCTCTTCTTTCCCTTCCTTCCTTCCTTCCTTTCTTCCTTCCTTCCTTCCTTCCTTCCTTCCTTCCTTCCTTCCTTCCTGTCTGTCTGTCTTTCTTCTTTTTGGTTTTCCTCATTTTGATTTTCTGAGACAGGGTTTCTCTGTGTAACAGCCCTGGCTATCCTGGACTCACCCAGTAGACCAGGCTGGCCTTGAACTCACAGAGATCCCCCCTGCCTCTGCCTCCCAAGTGCTGGGATTAAAGGTGTGCACCACCATTGCTTGCTGTAATCTTGTGTTCTTAATGGATTTGTAGACTCACATCTGAGCCCTGGTTCCATTCCTAAGGTTATGTGGATGCAAATATTGTACATCTGAAGAGCTGTGCATTCCTAAAGACTGGTGGTCCCAAGCATTGTGGGTAAAAGCTGCATAATGTATCTTCTCCTTCATAGGCCTTTCTGTCATCCCTTGGACTGGATGTCCCCTGGACATGGAGCTGTGACTGACACCTGTTAATCTCTGGGCAAATATTGAGTAAATGAATGAACTTGTCAATGAGTCCTTCTTTGCTTGTAGACACTTTATCATCATCATTAGATCACCACGTGGCCTTGGAGGAGGGGCTGGTGACAGTGACTTTCATTTGTCTTTTCTTTCCTTTTATTTGAGATGGTCTCTCACATAGCCCAGGCTGGCCTTGAACTTGCTATGTAGCTGGGGGCAACATTGAACTTCTTATCCTTCAGAAGGCTTTTTCATCTCAGATGCTGGGGTTGCAAGTATACACCACCATGCTGAGGTTACAAGGTGCTGAGGATGGAACCCTGAGCTTTTTGTTTAATGAGATTTTGTGTAAGGGCTGGGAATGTACTCAGTGGTGAGTGCTTGCCTAGGACCTGAGTTACATCCGCAGCAATGCACTGTACACATGTGTGCACATCCATAGAAAAAAATTTGCATATAGATATGGACCATGCACGTTTCAGAGGATCTGTGCAGAGACATATCGCTAAGGGCATGGATGAGAAAGTGAACACACAAAAGGGCAGAGGTCAAGGTCAAGGTGGAAAGGAAATAGGCTGATGGGAAGCCTGGTGTCTATTAGCTTGAGACCTTCAACAAGTTTTCCTTCATTTCCACTTGCCTCAGGCATTTATTTATCTGTGAAATGAGGAGAGCAAACTTATACATTACAGCTGCCAAGGGGCTGGGGAAGACAGCCATGTAAAAGGTGAATCTGGGGGAGTGGAGGGGCCCGGGGAAGTGATTCAGTATAGTACCTGCTTAGCACACACCACACATGGAGAGCTAACCAGGTATGTCGTTGGCTTATAATGAGTGCTCGTTTCTTTGGCTTATAATGAGTGCTCATTTCTGTCCCTTACTAGCCTTTGTGCCAGACTCTTCAGTGAGTCTTCCTGGGCCCTGCATTGTTACAAATATTCTTGGCCCATGTACATGCTTGGTTTTTGTCATGCATGGGCACTGGTTGTATTGTTGGTGCTGGCCTTTTTCATTGTTCCTAAGCACATCTAGAGTCCTGCAGGTGGAGTGTTCCTGACCTCGCACAACACTCTGCCTCAGTGTCTTCATCTGCACAATGGGGATAATCCTAACAGCCATGTCACAGGCAATGACAAGGATCAGAACCTGCAGGTGTGGTTCTTGGCGTGCCCTCTGCAAATACTGTGGAGGACTGTTGTTATGAGTAGGTTTTCCTGCCTGCCTGTCTTGTCCCTCTGCCGTGCCAGCCCCAAATAACACACAGAGATGCTGTATTAGAAATAATTCTGTTGGCCAGTTACTAGTTTCTTATTGGCTAGCTCTGTCTTAATTATTAACCCATTTCTATTAATCTAAGTACTTCCATGTGGTCTTATCTTACCGTCCTTCATCTTCAGCCTCCTCCGTACTCCTTCCTCTCTCCTCCTAGTCTCTTCATCCCGCCTATCTTCCATTCCTATTGGCCAACAATAAGAGAAACATGTTACAGAATGACATCTTCCATCAGACTGTAGATGGGTTTGGGGGGGGGTGGAATGCCAGTCAGCTCTGTTCAGCCAGCCAGCTCCCAAATAACAACACAGAAACTTATTATTAATTAGAAATGCTTTGGCTAATAGCTTATGCTTGTTACTAACTAGTTCTTACAACTTAAATTAACCCATATTTCTTATCTATGCTCTACATCGTGGCCATATTTTTCCAGCATGGCATGTTCTGAAAGGGGTAAACTAATAAAGGGACCAGACCCTCACTCAGCCCCCTGCTTTAGCAGCCATGACAGGCTACAGAAAAGACATGGAGGCCTCTGACTTAGCACATGACACAAAGAAACTCCAGACACCCCCCCCCACCCCAGCCTCCTAGATTCCTGGGAGCTGACCAATGAAAATAATTGGTACACAGGTATTTCATCCCAAAATAGGACTTTGAGAAATTCCCCTAATTGTTTGTCAAATGTCAGCCAATCAGAAACCAACCTGTACCTACTGATGTAATCCTGTGATTGTTGCCTTTAAAAACCTGGCAGTAGACAGGAAACTCGATTCCTCTGGTGGCTTCTGTGTCAGCCAGCTAGACGAGGTCCCTGTTGTGGCTGGATGAACAATAAACCTTATGCATTTGCATCAGTCTCTCCCTGGTGGTCTTTGGGGAGCTTCATGACTTGGGCACAACAGTTCATCTCTTGCTTCCTCTGCATCTGGCTGGTGGCCCCCTTTTCTTCTTCCCAGCATTCTTTTTTGTCCGTAAGTCCTGCCTACCCTCTACCTGCCTAGCTACTGGCCATTTAGCCCTTTATTAAACCTATGAGAATAACATATATTCACAGTGTACAAAGAGATCGTTCCACAGCAGAGGACCAGATGGAACCTGAGGTCCTTGTAATGCTTCTGACATGCTTCAGTTCAGCTGGCCCTGGCACCCGGAAACACTGTGCATCTGGCACACAGTAGGTGTTGAACTGTTGCTGTCAGAATGGCCCAGAACAGAATGCTACCTGGATGCTGGCCCCACCTCTCAGCAGCTTTGTGGCCCTGGGCAGGTGGCTTGGCTTCTCTATTGTCATATGGAAAATAGCAGTAGCTTACTGACAGGGTTGTCTTGTCTTTGGAGATTTTTTTTTTTTTTCAGTATAGGGATTTTGTGCATGTAAGGCAAGTGCTTTACCATGGGGCTGAATGTTCAGCCCCCTTTTAACCTTTATTTTGAGATAGAGTCTTACTAAGTTGCCCAGGCTGGCTTTGAACTTGCAATCCTCCTGCCCCAGCTTCAGAGTAACTGGGATTATAGTTAACCTCATCACTAGGCCTTGTCTTGAGGGTTGAATGAGTTCATGGATGCTGCGTGGCTTGACATGTGCCCAATA